TTTAACCTTAATTGGTCTTCTCGATCGGTATCGACAACAACATCGTCAACGCTCAGAACAACAACAATCGCTGTGTCGGGCTCTAAAACGCCCGATTGTTCCAGATGTCAACTGGATGGTTGTTCATGGAGGAATTCTTGGCCTGAATTACGTTTTTTCGGCCAGAAAGGTACGTTCATTGCTAATAAGACCATTACCATAAAGTTTCAATATCTGTTTGACGTAATGGTAGTGTATTTCGGTTCATTTAACTTTCAAGACACCATAAAATTGGTAAATGTACTCTAAACTATTTGAACTCGTTTGATCATGCTTTGAAGGATTCGAGGCAATCAAAGTGGTACAACGAAGTCAGATGTCACAGTTTTAATCCCTATCGAAGTGGGAAAGGTGAAACCCCTCTTTAGTGTTAAAAAATACTTCCAGAATGTTCTGTGGTTGGCTTACATAGCTCTTGAGGCTGATGTTCATTCAGTCACTTTCAGCTAAATGATTATTCAAAGTTAGAGATCGTGTTGTAGCGTTTCCTACTGGTAAATAGGTTGTCGGCAATATTGAGCCCATAGCTGATTCAAGAGAGCGTTAAATATCCGACCGCCCATGTCGCCAATGTACCAGGTTCAGCCGACCCAAAATTAGAATGCAAGAAAGCAATCGGATGCGCCTAATTAAGTTAGCATATCAAGGACTAAGTACTTGAATTCGAATGTGGGATTAATTGACATAACTTAAACTGGTAGCTCGTAGTGAAAGGGAAGAGAGTTCGGGGGTATCTTTTTTCTAAATTGTGGACTTCATTTTCATCCCTGTCTCATCATATTGTGAATTTCTCATGAACAGTTCCAGAGTAACTCTTCTTTACCTGATATACTAACGCGTTCCTTTTGAAGATTTATAGTTCAGAAGTTAACTTGTTGTTTGATTTGCATCTAGGATCTTGCAAAGGATTTTCTACCCATGGTCTACGGGCCACTCACAGGAGTTCTTATTTCCCCGATCAGTACCTCATCAACTACTCAAGAGACCCAGGAGATATCCACTTTGGCTGGCGAGGAGGATTTGCTTTGTGCGGCGTGCAATGCTCTGCTTGAATTACCTCGCCACCTTCTTCTGGAATATGACAATGCTGCTGGTGGCCCTCGCTTAGTAGATGAGGTTTGGAAGTTGTTAGAGCGTTCTGCTGGAGAGCTGTCGTCTGCAACTGGACCGCTGTTGACTCTCGCTGCTGAGTTAATCCTCTCGTAGGATATCTTTCTGATATAATAATAACTTATTTAATTCTATCAGAGTTTAGAATGATTCCTATACCTATTTTTTATGTACTTTATCACCGATCATTTAAGTCTACTCGTGTTATGAAAGTGCTAATTTAAGCAAGCCATATTACTTTTTCGCGATCTATGTCTGCGAAGATTTGTCAAAATCACATTGCTGCATTACGCAGCGGCTGGATTGCCCAATCTATTGATCCATTCTGGCTAATAGAGAGGTTGAACGTCAAAATTTCGCTCAGATTAGACCTCATAGCTTTGGAATAATTATTGGTTTTCTTTATTCATTTAAACAGCTACTTAATGGAATTCCAACTTACACTCCCAAGCTATCCACAAAATATTGGCAGACGCTAAAGAGAAGACAAATACACTGAGTTAAGAATTTTATATAAAGATGCCAAGTTACCTCTAACGTACTGTACACTAAGGTTATTCATTAGCTCTTGAAAATCCTTTAATACTCATGCCTGGGTTTTCCAAATAAAATGTAAGGGAAGATAAAAATAGTGAGTGTCTTCAAGCAGAAAAATATTGAACAATTTGCATACTTACATTTTCTTCTTTACACTACCATTTGGTGCTGATCACAGGAATGTACCGTGTAAAAGTACTGTATATTGAGTGTTTACATCGGCGCCAATAGTTGGTTACAAAATTGACCCACAAAGTATGTGGTGGATATGGAAGACTTCTTTAAGGACATTAGTTTAGCACAAAATAGCTAAACGAGAGTTGGAAAAGCAGTAAGTAGGTAAGTATCGAAAGTGGGTTATAATGATCCCGAATGGTCAATTCATTAATTGGTACTGATATTTAGATTTGACTTGTGGATTTTTTCGTTGTAGCCTGAAAAAGGATTGAAAATAGTGTATACTAGAAGCTCAGAAGGAAAACCAGTTCATGGTAATTTTTTAGCCGGGTGTTGACAGGTATGGGGGTAGTCAAGACAATTGAACTAACTTAAAATCGCACTGAGAGTGTAAAATAATGTGTAAGGTAGATTAGTTGTTACTTTCTGACGCATCAGTATCTCCTTTGTCTAAGTTCTAGGCAAATTGATGATATCTTGACGCGATTATTCAACTTAACAGTGTTTAATTACCCCATATAGGTCTCAGACTGATGTCGCCCAAACTGATCAAAATAAGGGAATTGTCGTTAGTTTAGATCAAACGATCAATCCTCTCGAGGCAACTAATTTTTCCAATCGCATACTTCTCGTCCTTCACTTTATGCACTTTCGATCGTCCACTGAACTTCGTCGAACTGCCGTCAAAACTTTGCGGGCTTTGGTTACACCAATTCTTGAAAAGGTTCTTTTATATTTTGAAATTTGTAAAGTACATTTATGACCTACAAACGTGATATCGTACTTTCTTGTAAACGATTTAAAATGGCCATTTTGGCACTAAACCCATTTAATAACGACATTGAAGTTAACGAAATAGACGGAAATGTTAATATTTATTTATCTCAAGTGGCAGGCGTTTTGATAGTTACCATTAGCCCTTTAGCTGACTTCGGACTTCACAGGAAGGAGGAGGAGGAGGAACATCAAAGTGACAAAAGTGGGGAGGGGGGGGGCAGAATAATGTTTCACAGATGTATGGGAGACAGACACTAAGACAGAGTACTGTGAAAGTGGTAGAATGTGACATAGAGTGGGGCTATTGTAGTTTGAAGTCAGAAGTCACTTGCCGGTTAATAGACTTTTTTGCCGCATGATGAGTATACGTTGCCCAGGGTGCACCACGTGGTGGTAAGTCTATCGAACGCTCCGAATTTGGATTATTTGTTTCTTTTAATCTATGATTGCAGTTGTGTACATTCCTACAAATTGGTCTCAGAGGCAAAGATGAAATGGCTTTTTCAGTGTTACATTAATTTTGACATTTTTCAATGTTGAGGTTTCTCGGCAGCTCAATTGTCATCGTTCTTAGTTCTATTTTTACTAAAAACGCTTCGAGAACTTTATGAGTAAAAATTTTTACTGTGGTTTTCTCAGTAGTATTTATGAATTATCATTTTCGTAATCAGGTATTTCATTAATCACCTACAATACATTTGGAATTACATAAGTTAGAAAGTTTAGGTAGCTGCATTATCCTCTCATTATGATCAAAACTGCTGATCCTCTAGTTAACTTAATCTATAATTGTGAAAATCAATTGGTTGAGCAATATGAATCTTCTATTTTTTATTTAAAGCCAAATCCAACCCTCGATTTACCACTATTGGCTGTGCTTCTTGAGCAGCTCTTTCATCGTGTCATTCTCGAAACCGATATAGCAACTATTCAATCAGTTAGCGATGTAAGTCGAGGCTAGTGTGCTCTAACTCTTCGTATTCTCTTCATATTCATTAATTCTGTTAATCATTTCAGCTATGGTACCAACTTGTTGAATCCTTCCCGGTAGAGCTTCTAGCGCAAGCTACACTAAGTCGAATCGATTTTTGGCTATGTCAAGCTATGCAGCCGAGCTCTGCTCCATTTGCCGATACCATGTTGAATCTCTTAACGCATTCGGCCAATCAGGTGAGTGCGTGTCGTTTTCGCCTTTTCCTATTAGCTAGTTTTCGGTTGTCATTTTATTGGTTATGCGACCTTTTGTGGAGTTTAATGTTGCTTATTGTTCTTTCATTCCATTAGTTTTTAACTCAATTTTTTTTGCCTTTGATAGCAAAACCCACAAAATTACTATATTGGTGGTTATGAAGTTGGAGCAGCTCCTGAAAGAGTGCGGCAAAGCGTTGCCTTGGAAGCAAGGATTACAGCCACTGAGTGAGCATTTTACCCTTAAAGGTTTTTGTAATATTTTATTTCCCGTTCTGCAAGTGTGTTCATTCTTTTCTTTGTGTTGACTAGTTGTTTAGCTTTTTAACTATGTCTCCCCGTTCTCTCCTTGTTTAATTGTTTGCTCAATGCTTGTATGAAGTGCTACTATTTTGTTTGTAAATCGAAATAGGAAGAAAAGGTACAGAGTTCTATAGCATAAGGGAATTCGGAAAGATAGATGAACAGACGTAGGAGGGTGTAAGGTTGGGGAAGTGATAATCTTCCTCCAATAGGCATGGGACGCAGGAGTGAGTATATTCGGATTTGAAGCAGTTGCATTGGGAAATCTGCTAGCTTAATCGACTTGATATTCATTATTTTCGTGTTAAGGGCTAATGATAAATTTGAAAAAAAAATTTCGTGTCTGATGATTCATAATGTCAATCTTTCATATTGAATACCACAGAAGTAGGAAGGCATCTTGCTTGGGATTGGCAGCTCTAATATATGAAAAGCTTATGGCTTCTGGTTCACAGATTCTGCCTTCGAAGGTGTATCGCATAAGGTGCCTTATTTTTAGTTCTTTTCTAGTTATTATTAGCAATTTTAGAGAAAGCATTTGTATTTTTAAGGTCCTTTCTAATTTTGGGTCTGTTTTCTGTCGTTTCTTAACGCTTGGATTTATTTTAATTTTTCACCGTTTTGATGCATTCTGAGGGGTTTTGAATAAGCTGTATCGGATATCCTTAGCTTTGTGAATGACCCCAAATAGGAAAGTTAATTCAAATTTCTCATTGTAATTCTGCTATTTTTCTCAAATAAAGGCTCCTCGCTCACTTAAGCAACCGTGTTTGTGAAAATCATGAGCTCACACTCACTCTACCAACTCCTGCTCCGAAATCGATTTCTTCAGGCCCCAATTCTGAGCATCAAAACAACTCCTCTTCCTCCTCTACGATATTGATGACAGTTCGTGCTTACCTACTAGAGCATATTGTATGTGGAACACATCTGCGTGACCGACTGGGAATGCAAAGATTTATCGCAAGTCTTCTGTTGGCAGCTTGGCCTTGTCCATCGAAACTTAACTTGTGCAGTGAATCTGGTATGCATCTTCCGGAGAAGCTGAACTCTTGTCTTACCAACGTGGTCTACTTTGAGGAGATTCTGGGTAAGAAATAAGGATATATATATATATATATATACATATATATATATATATATATATATATATATAAAATGTCTGGTCTTTGCTATTAAAAAACTGAATTAGGTGTGATCCGACATCATCCGCGTTGTTACAAATTTTACCATTTAAAGAGTTTTGCATGGAACGAAACAAATGGTAATCCGAAGGCGCAAGGTCAGGGCTATATGGTGGGTGTGACTAAACATCCCAATCCAGTTCCAATAATTTTTGCCGAGTAACCAAAGATGTGTGGGGCCTTGCGTTATCATGATGGAAAACAACACCCTTCCGATTTGATAATGCCGGCCACTTATCTTCAATTGCATCCTTCAGTTTTTCGAGTTCTTCAACATACACATTTGAATTTATCGCTTGGTTCTGCGGCATGAGTTCAAAATACAAAATTCCTTTGTGATCCCACCAGACTGACAGCATAATCTTTTTTGGGGGGTGAATCTCTGCTTTTGATACTGTTTGGGCTGGTTGATCTTGCTTCACCCATGATCTCTTGCGAGTAACGACATTGTTATAAACTATCCACTTTTCGTCGCCAGTAACTAGGTTCTTCAGAAATGGATCATTCTCATTGCGTTTCAGTAGCGGCGAATCACAGATGCTAATCCGTTGCGTCAAATGAATTTCCTTTAACTGGTGAGGGATCCATAAATCAAGTTTCTTGACATAACCAAGGGTTTTTCATTTTTTTTTTCAATGCATGTATGCGACACATTGAGCTTCTCTGCAATATCTCGTGTTGTGCTGTGACGATTTGAATCGATAATGGCCTTGATATGGGTTTCATCCACTTCGACTGGACGGCCAGATCGTTGTGAATTTTTCAGTGAAAAATCACCGGAACGAAATCTTTCAAACCAATTTCGACACTGCCTTTCTTTTAAGGCTTCATCTCCATATACGGCACATAACTTTTTTTGTGCTTGCGATGCGTTCTTGCCTTTTCGGAAGTATTACAATAAAATGTGTCGGAAGTGCACGTCCTGTTCTTTCATTTTTAAATTGGAATAAAAACAAAACCAAAGAACTAAACAAAAAATTTTTTTACTAATTAACCTAGAAGCCCATACAGTAAGAAAAAAATATAGGTTAGATGCTTTGGCCACGTTAACAAAACAAAAGAAAGTATAGAGTGAATCCGTCAACAAAAACGGCAATGACTTAGTTGCCGACCCAATATATATATATATATATATATATATATTCGTGGTTAGTGAATGGACTCTTTCTGAACAAGAGGTTGGGTTCTCAGTGTAACAATTGCACCGAATGTATTTGACGCAGTTACTTACGTGTTACAGTGGCAATAAAATTTGTCAAGGGGTTATAGGTAATGATGAAAATGTCTTGAGTGTATCAGTAATGGATTTGGTTTTTGGTCTTTGACTATCTTTTTCGGTTCCCTATTTGTTCAACTTTCATTCTATGCTATTCCTTTCTTTGCATATTTAGGTCTATTCAAAACTATGAATGAGGACTGCTGTCGCCTGAAGGCTCTTTGTGAATTCACGAAGCTCCCAGTTACCATCCCCCCTCCTAAGTCGTAAGTAAACTGGCTACATTTAACTGTCTTCGTTAGCTTACTTTTAAGCCCGGATCTCGTGAACTGTTATCTTGTCGCTTTGATATTATAGTAATTATTGATTTCATTTAAATTCATCGCCCTTTAATCTTCTTTTATTGCCTCTTTGCACAGTGGAAAAGCAATGAATTTGGTTGAATGCCAAAATGTCCTTCAGCTGGTTAGCCTTAACTTGCCCACTTACAGTCCAACCACTTTGACCGATGGTGAATTTCATCTCTCAGAAGTTGATTTTCAAGAACTTCAACGCGCTTTAAGGAAGGTTCAACACTCAGTCAGTCGGTGCTTGGCTCTGCAACTTTTTTGGAGTTCTCGGTATGTTTATTTGTCGAATTGAAAATCTTTGATGCCTAGATTCTATTTTACCTCTATTGAGTTCTAGAAATGCAAGAGTTTGGCCATCTTTCTTGCTAGGGCTTGTTCAATATTACCCTGCAAATAGGTTTTTTCAGCACCTTTCAAACATCCTTTCAACTCCGTTCGTACTTTAGAAAATAATATATGTAGCGGATTGCTACACTAGTAAAGCCTGACTGCCTCAGAAATCTCTGTGGCAGATTCTTCAACATCTAGCTAGACTCCCAGAACTAACTAAGCTATAGCCCATCTATAGAGGAAACAGACGCATAGCGCGGAACACGTTTAATCAGTAAGCATATTGTGGATAAAGTGTGAGCTTAGTCATAATCAGCATGACTGATTAGGTTAAACAAACGGAGGCTCTGATTGGCCACTGGTTGTACGGTCGCTGCCCACGGAGTTGTACGGCCGCATCTCCCGATCCTGGAATGCGTGCATGCGGTGACGTGTCCCACATATATCCTTGATTATTCCAATCTAATTAAATTCCACACTGTTTGATCTTTTAGTGTGGAGGTTTCTCTAGCATCCGCTCTCATCAATTTTGGATGGATAACCCCAGGTAGACTCACTCCTCTAATTCGACCTCTCATGGATACGATTCGTGTGACCTCAACCACCACCACTTCTTCACTCCCCACCACTGACCTTGACATTGATCTACCACAGGTGGGTGAGCATTTGAGACTGCAGCGCCTAGCGGCGTGGAATTTAGCGCGTCTGCTTTGGGCTGAGTGTCAGCAACTGCAACAACAGTGTTCTTCCACTTCTGCTTCGTCCATAGCCACATCGAAAGCTCTGAGTAAAGTGAGCCAGAACTTGACTAAATACATCCTGCCAGATGAAATATCTGACTGGGGTAAGTGACTGCTATCAGTCATTATATTCTATTGTATTCAACATTATAGGGGAAACTATTCCTTAGAGTTAGGTGTGAGATTGAGGAAGGAAACTAAATGCATAAAAGCAGGGAGGGGGAGTGACAAAATGTTTTTCTTTTAGAAAATGGTGCAAATTTAATGTGGTGATCTTTTTTAACTGACTGAAAAGTAAAGCTTAAACCTTTTATGTTATATGGCTTAGTAAAGTGGATGAGTCACTTTGAACCGAGGGTAAATTATTACACCGGATAAGGCGAAAGAGATAAGGAGATAGTAAAAAAACAATAGAAGAATCGTGATAGTTATCCGATGTCTGCAGGTACTGAAGTCACAGCAACAATATTTCAAGTGGAAATTGCACTTCTAAAAGTTATTCTCTTGTTGTTATCTATGGTACCAAGTTATAGATCATAATGTAATGAGGATAATTTTCAGATTGAAGTTAGTTGGTGCATATTTGTTGAGCAGAATGCCAAATTCCTTACCTTTCGTCTGGTTTTAAGTGAGCTGGTTAATCTCGAATCCACCTCACCCTCCCCTCCACTCCCCCTCTCCGGATAGGCTTCGGGGCGCTGCTCCTCTATTCAAGATGAATGGCGGAAAAGTTTCTTCAAACTGGTTGCGTATGCTATGGTTGATAGGGTACATTTCTCAGGGAACAGGATTCTCATATGTAATGAGTTGAGTTTGATCAATAGAAAGCTTCTCTATTTGCACTGAGTTGCATTTAATTGTCTTGGTAGAGATGTGCACTTATAGCTTGGAAACCATGGAAGTGCTTCTAAGTTATTATCATTGATAATGATTTATAGTGAAGACAAGTCTATGACATGGATATGTGTATTGTAAGTAAGAGGTAGTGCGTGTGTAGATGAGTCCGGGGTAGAATGATGTTAAGTAAAAGTTAACTTGAGGGAAAACAGAACAACTCGGCATACTGCGGAATCTTATCTGATTACTATTGTTCCAGATGCGTTGATTGCCAAGGCGGAGAGAAATGAGGACTTTTGTGAAGAATTTGTCTGCCTAACAATGATTCTCATGCGACAATGGGATGAGAAGGTCTTCTCCTCTGCTGATGTGAATGGTAATGGGCCAAGTTCTTCTATGGTAAGTTGTTTTCTTCTACGTCTTAATAGATCAACTTAGTCTGCTGATTTAAGTGGTCGTATTTAGGTTGAATTTTGAGCAAGTACTGCATATTTTCGGTGTCATATTTACCATGTAGCAGGAGGAATATATTTGAATAAGGAGGTTTTTTCTTGAATCCATCGTTCCTTACATAACACGCGATGCGATTGGTGCTTTACCACTCATAAGACTATTATTATTATTTCAAATGGCAGGAGTTTTGAATAGCTATCATTAGCCATTTAGCCGACATCGGGCTTCACAGAGGGAGGAACATCAAAGTGAGAAAAATTTGAGAGGGGGAACGAAAGATCGATTCAGGGATGTGGAATAGACAGGCACACAAAGGTAGAGAAAAGGTGAGATGAGTACTGTGGAAGTTGTGGAATATGACATACAGTGGGGCGAATGTAGTTTGAAGTCAGAAGTCAACTGCCCGTTAATAGACTTTTTACCGTATGAGTACACGTTGCCCAGGGTGCATCATGTGGAGGTAAGTCTATCGCACACCCCACTCATAAGACTTAATGGCTCTCATTTCAGAATTGGTGGTGATGGCTTGAGACTAAACGTTTTAATTCTGTGCATTTGTTTGGTGCTCCCTCAACTGATAGTGCACGGAGCATTCCCCAATTTACTGATTTCAAGTTTAAGCCGATGTACCGTCGTCATCTTTGCATTTATTTAGCAATTGATTGGCATAAACTACGACTTACGATAGTACATTTGTTTAAAGAATTGTATAAATTCACTATAGCTGAATTCAACATGCTTATCCTATTGTAGACCTTATTGCATTTTTTTAGTCAATTTCGACCTCAAATGCAGGACTTCAGGCCTCTCGGAAACAATCTCTTAACGAATTGCGTCGATGTGGAAGTCTGATGGCTCTTGTAAATATCATCCAAGCCTTCCTCGCTGACTCCTCCCAAAATATTGTTATGGAGCAAGTCCTGCCTCTGAAAGTTCCAACTCTTTGGGAGATCCTCTGGTTAGAACCACTGAGTGTTTTCCGCCGAGTTTGTGGAATACCCACTCCATCCACAACGAACTTTTCTGAAGATGTAACCTTTTTACTGGAATCCAAACAGAGTAAGATTGTGTCATATTGTCAACTTTGGTGGTTGTTTTAAATCGCACGGAACAGCAGTTAAGATGCTTTGTTTGAGCATTTCGCTTTCCGGGTGGTCTTATCATTACGCTGTCGTATGCTTATCTGATAGTCCTGCAATTCGTCTTTACACGCCTCTTCTACAGCACTGGTTCAATCGTTGAATTATACTTTTCCAATCAATGGTACCGTTAAAACGAATACAATATCCTTGAAGCATTAGCACTTCTGCTTCGTTCTTCTCGTTGACTTTAAGTCAACCGTGACCGATCGATATTAAAAGGGTAGATAGGTCGTAGTGTGAGAAAATTAATTTTCTAGTGCTATATTAACGTAAAGAGCACTTTATCACATTAGAGGTCATGTATTTTTTTGCCATCCCAGCGCCAAACTGCAATCTAATATGGCAAGCTTCTAATATGTCACTCTCAGTTGAAATAATAACGTCTTGTGATTGGTCATTGCCAACACTTTATTCTCATCGAATTCTCGAAAAACCATTTAAATGCCTCGTTTGCTTCTTCTGTAGATGTAGCTGTATTGACTTCCACCGATCTCGATAGTCTCTACCGCTCACTCTATCTTCTTCCGCCAATTCTCTTTTCTCTTCAACAATCTTCATTCCCAGATGTGCCAACCAGCTATTTTACAACGGGCTTGATTGCCTTGGCATCACGGTGTCTTCTATTAAAGGGATTTCCGAGCCTACGATACGCCGCCGCTCACAATTTGGGCATTCTTGCCAGTATTCAAGCTGACTTTACAGTCAGTGTCCTCAATAGTCTTCTCACTCCTTTCGCATTGTCAGCATCTACGTTCTCGGATAATGATAAACTTGCTTCGCTTGAAGCTGTTCATCGTAAGTGCAGGAATTCATGGCCATCTTAAACTGCTTAGCCCAGTTAGTAGTAATGTAATATACTATTCTAGATATTATTGAGTGTGTTCTGTCGCCTCGATTGGAAAATCAAGTCTTCCATAGTCTTCAATTGGTCTCAAGTGATAAACCTCTATCTCCTCTCCTGCATGGAGTTGGGCTTAAGGAGGTCACGGGACTAGTGAAGAAGGTTTCAGATGGAATAGGAGCACCACTGCACTCCCTTTTATCCTATGTGATTATTATGTTGAAGTCCCTTGTTCTTCCGCATTTTGCTGACCCAAGAAACGATGTTAGACTTCTGGCGTCAAATATTTTCACGAAGTTGCTTATTCTTTCATCTCTTGAAGTGAGCTTTTAATATTTCGCTTTCTGTGCATTTATGTCAACAACATGCTTTTTCTCCCTTTTTTCTTATTTTAAATAGGAATCAGCCTCGGACCCTGGGGGTCTTGGTTTGCCAAGTGAACTCCGAAAAGTCCGAGAAGATGGTCGACATTTTGTGCAATGTCTTCAGCATCCAAAAGACATTGTCCTCTACAATTCCGACAAGAATATTCATGCAGAATTGCGACCTTACCAACAGGTTCCCAATTGAATATCAACTTGAATGGCTAAAATATGCCCCTTTGCTTTCTAACACTGTTTTGTTGGTCTCCTCTAGGAGGGCGTTAATTGGCTGCTCTTCCTGAAACAGTATGGATTAAATGGTGTTCTGGCCGACGATTTGGGCTTGGGCAAAACCCTTCAAACAATCTGTGCTTTGGTAGCCCACCATAGTCAACTCAGTGGAAGAAAGCTCCTTTCACCAACCAAGAAGTCGCGACTCAGAGCCAATCGGAGAAATACTGGGATATCATTGGTTGTTTGTCCGGCAACGCTTTGTGCACACTGGCAAGAGGAAGTGTTGAAATTTGTTCACGACAGGAGCATCCTCAAGCCTATCATTTATGCTGGAAATGCAGATCAAAGAGCTGGGTAAATTAACAGTGCAGAATTGTGCTTTGTAGTGTCTTATAATCCCGCGAATTTACACATCAGCCTTGTTTTTGTGATTGTTTTATCCGATATCTTTATTTTTAAAACGAATCCTAATAATCGATAAATATCAATAAAGATAAAACCACTGTAGATAAAAAATCCTATTTAATTTTATAAATTTCAGATTTATGATTTTTTTCAAAAAATGAAAATTTATCAAGTCCAACCTCAGAATCAAAATTTTTTGCATTTTATTATTATTTTTCCTCTTATCTTACAAACTTTGCCTGCCTGCATCTCTAACATCGATATTCGTTACCAATTTTAGGAGTGAATGGCGTCTTTTCTTAACCCAATATGATATTTCATTTGTTTAAACTGCAATAACTATGCATTTCTCAATGGTTTCTGTTTGAAAGAAAAAGTGGTGGTGTCATATATTTTCTAAAAATAAAACCTATTATGACGTGATTGTATTTCAGACTTCAACTCTACATTATGCAACGGTATAACCTACTAATTTCAACCTACGAAGTAATTCGAAGTGACATAGAATTTTTGCAGTAAGCTCTCCGATTCCTTATACACTATTTCTTGGCATTGTTGTTTGTACTGTTTATGTTATTTCTATTATTTCTAGAGAAACTTTCTTTGAATACTTGATACTAGACGAAGGCCACGTCATTAAAAATACAAAATCTAAGGTAGTCTCTTTTCATTTCATTGAGTACTACCTAATGAATTGAATTTGCATGCATCCGTGTTTCGCCTATTAATAGATATCGTGCGCGGTAAAGAAACTCAAAGCCAGACATCGTCTCGTATTGACGGGTACACCTATTCAAAACCGAGTCAATGACTTGTGGTCTCTCTTCGATTTTTTAATGCCCGGTTTCTTGGCTCCCTCGGAAGCTGCATTTAATTCCCGATTTGGGCGTCCAATCCTTCTAACACGAGATCCTAAGGCCACACCTCAGCTCCAAAGAGCAGGTGACTTTAATTACTTACGCTTTCTACACCTCCTACATAATTTAATTATCCTTCCACTTTCATTTGTTCTTTTTAGGTCAAAAGGCACTCGATGACCTTCATCGCATTACAATGCCATTCATTCTTCGGAGAATGAAGGAGGATGTTCTTCAAGATCTTCCTCCCAAGGTCATTCAAGATTATTCTTGCACAATGACTCCACTTCAGGTTGGTTATTTTCTCATATTCTACTTATATCACTTAAGTAATTAGTCATGGCAATTATTTTTTTGTTTGCATTAGGCCAAACTCTACGAAACATTTACTAATAGCCCTGAAGGTCAGGAAGCCCTAAATCTTGCCTTTGGAAGATCGACGGAGGAGGGAGAAGGTGAGGCTATCGCGAAAAGTTCTCGTGGTGGTTTTGGTTCAATAAAGTACCTTCTCTCAGTTTGCAACCACCCCTGTCTTGTCCTCAGCCCTAAACATCCACTATATGAATGGGCAGTGGAACAGTACTCCTCTTCACAAGATGGTCTTAATGATTATCGGCTATCTGGAAAGCTTATTGCTCTTAAGTAAGCGGTTTAGAATCTATTGCTGCCTATATTATATATCCATGGTTTGTGATCGTTAAAATCCATTTGCGGCAATTAATCAATTTACTCGACGTTTTCGTTCCTAACTTGTAGGCAACTGCTTTTGGACTGCGGATTTGGTGATAATCGCAGTGGTTCTACTGGCGAGGACGGTGAAACAGACGATCAGGGAGATCTGCTTCGCCAACATCGAGCTCTTATCTTCTTTCAGACTAAAAAGATGCTTAATCTAGTTGAACAACTGCTCAAGTATGTGAATTATCTGTTAGGCCTGGTTCATTTCAATCTGTTACATGCGGTGGCAATAATTTCACAACAGATCTAGTTAATACCTCGACTTCTATAGTTGCTTGTCTGGATTGATATTGGATGCTCTAATATCATTAAAAGTACTTGGAAGAAGTTCGATAGTGTTTCCTTACTGCGCCTGTTTTCATGCACTTCCTAAAGTTCGATTGGGGTCTCGCCAATTGCAACAAGTCCACCTGTTTAACAATAGTGGCTATTTTATAGTTGCATTGCAGATATGCTTTGAAATGGAAGATCTGCGAATTTGAATACTCCTATAATCAAATGTGTGTATGAAGGTGAATAAATATGTTTTACTTTAAAGGCCGAAAAATTGTCATGAGAATGAGGTCATTTCTGCTAAAGATTGGTTTTCATGTTATTATTATCGTAAACAAAGATTCAAATCCTCCTGTTATTTATTTCGCAATGCCCCGATGATCTGTTTAATATTAGAAGAAAGCTGAGATCTGAAATTGTCCGAGTGGTTGCTCGTCTTCATTTCAACAGAATTTTTAGAGGTACACAGTCAAGATGATTACGATAGCTCCGTAATGTTTTTTTTCGCGCTTAAATTTTGTTGATTGTGATAATATTTTATTCTTCAAACAGTACGGAGTTCAAGAGTATGTCTCACTTGCGTCTGGATGGATCAGTTCCTGTTTCATCTCGTCAAAAGTTAGTGAACACGTTCAATTCAGACCCTTCGATAGATGCTCTCCTTCTCACAACATCTGTTGGTGGTTTGGGACTAAATCTCACCGGTGCCGACACTGTCATCTTTGTGGAACATGATTGGAACCCTTGTCGTGATCTGCAGGCTATGGATCGAGCCCATCGAATCGGTCAACGGAAAACCGTGTCTGTTTTTCGTCTAGTTACAACTTCTGGCGGTAGTATTGAAGAACGTATCATGAGCCTACAGACATTCAAGAAGTATTTGGCTCGAACTCTTGTTTCGGCACCAGAAAATGCGGCCCTGAGTTCCATGGACACATCGACCCTTGTCGAGAACTTGGCGAAGGTGGGAAATCTGGGAGTGCTGGGGGATTATGCAAAAGGAAGTGGTGGAAGTTCCGAATTCTCAGATGTCGATGTTGCGGCGAGTGAATATGCCATGGATATCTTTGATATTGATGATTTTCTGGTACACTTTCCTCAACGTAATGCTGAATCGTAATTAAAAGGGCTTATTTGAGAGATGGATTGGATAATATGCATTTCTTCCTCACGCGCAATTCTGTGTGTTTTTTTATGGACTCTATTGTTATTATTATTAATGTTGGCAATTAAATAAATGAAGCTAAATTAATGTTCATTTTGTGGTTGTGTTTGGGGGGTGGGGTGGGGTGGGGTTGGGGTAAGGTGTAACGCAAGGAGGGATGCTAATTCATATGAGCTGTAGAAATCCAGTAGCTTTTGAGGTTGACTACGAATATCACAATGAGCTTTTTCATGTTTATCTAATTCTTCATTTACTGCAAAATGGGGTGCAATAACTATGGTCTAGGTAGTTATTTATTACTGAAAATCTTATAGATAGTGCGGGGTGGGATGGTGTATACTCGCAAGAAAGGCTTCGAGATGCACTATGAAGTGGCATAAGAGTGCTTGTAAGTAATCATTTCATCACAAATGGACATGTATGCAAATGGAGGACACAGACAGTGGCCCTGTCATAGTCCTAAACATCTAATGACTTATTCATAGATGAGCTTATTAGGGAGAGATGGTGTTGATGGGTAGAATAGTAGCATGAGAGTTGAAACTGGAGTAAGTATGTAGAAGAATGGTGCATGTGTTATTGACGATACCAATGAACAAATCCTTCACACGACTCAATTTTAATGAGCGCCATAGTATGGGAAACGATTAATAGATATTAAACAGGGTAAGGTTACCAGAGCATCAAGAGCTTTATTCTATTTGGCGTTGCCTATGCTCTCCTAATGAGTTCCCTGTGCAATATGAAGTGAAGTCTACTTAAGTAGAGTACAAGATCAGCTGAAAAAAGAGTTCAAAAGCTGATTTCAGTCGGGTGGTGATATTCCGATTCTATTGCATGCCATGCTGAGCAATATCCACTAAAGTGATTAGACATTCACACCGTGTGCCTCGGCAAGCTAATGACTTCCAGAGTACTGGAGCCTTCCAGGTGAGCCGCCATGGCAATCGATATGCCTTTGAAAAGTGGTTATTTCGTGTTGAGACGTTTATTGGAGTTTATGCACTTATGCATATGTAGTATGATAATTGCAGGGAATAATTTAGTCCAGGTGAGCAGAAATCTGGTCTATTTTTCAATTACTGCGCTAATCGGGACATTTTTAAAATGGTAATTTCAGCAAATGTCACTGTGGTAATCGTCTTGAAAATGAGAGTATTTGCGTTTTCAGGTCTTAAAAAGCTGTTAACTCAGTAAGGTACTTGAGCAGCTAGAAAAAGAATTATTTAAAAGTGAAAAGTTGAAACTGCAATATAATTCAATGCTATCGTATCAGGTTTAATCTGCCTTCTGCTGACCTCAAACCCACAATGAGGTCAATGAAATTTCAAGCTCACGTGATTCCTGAAATTCTCACAGTTCTAAATTAGGGAATTCAGGTGATTTTGAAAGCATTTAAAAAATTATTATATCAATTGAGCTCATCGTTTGTTACCGATCCATCCGTCTTAAATCGATACGATGTTTGAAATCAATAGCAGGAATGGCAACCAATACATCAATAAGGCGAAAGTTACTCTCTATAGAATTTAAAATGCAGAACAGGGAAGGCTTTCTTTCATTTTCTAATTCGATGAAATCGATTGTCCCTCTCCTGCTATTTAATTATATGAGAAGGAGGTGGTGAATAAAGGCTAAGAATCACAAGTGTTCTTCAAGTTTTGTCCCTTGAATTCAAATTGTACTATTAAGGGTGTATTCAAAAAGTCCATGATCCGGGGTGTGCGATAGACTTATCACCACGTGATGCACCCTGGGAAGCGTATACTCATACGGAAAAGTCTATTATTCGGCAGTTGACTTTTGATTTCAAACTACCATGACCTCACTGTATGTCATAGTCGACCGGTTCTACAGTATACACCTTACCCTACTCTCTATCATTGTGTCTGTCCCTTTTACATCTGCAAATCACTCTTCGGTTCACCCTCTTGAACTTTGATGCTTCTCCACTCTGTGAAGTTCGAACTCAGCTAAGGGCTAATGATAACTATCAAAATGCCTGCCATTCGAAATAAAATACTCCATATTCCAATGTCAATATGCTCAAAGTTCAAATTTTACATCCAAAGTTTCTGAAAGATTTCCTCTTTGTAATGCGGGTTGTTAAGAGCCTATCGACCACCTGGTTAGCGTATGCACCTGGTCAACAGCGAAAGCTTGACCCTTATTCTTCTATTCGAAACACTGGCAGGATGGCAAAATCTAAAATATTAGCTGCAATTCAGCCTTCTCTGAGTATTGCAATGATCGCTCGCACTGAAAAGAGCAAAAGTCGTGTTTAAGGAAGTAAGATCTGTGTCTATTTTAATTACCATCATCTTACTGGGTAAAGAGCCAGATTGAAGCGTTTTTGCTCACTTGAATTTATGATTGGCATTACGTGGCATAAAGTTTATCAGACTTGGGCAGGTCTCAAGGGCTCAGACTACGGGTTTTCACACAGACAGGCAATGTGGCAGCATGTTTTGGCATTAAAAATTGCATGACCAACTACAAAGAACCAGCTGATGTAACCCAGAGTATTCAATCTATGTTCATCCGAGTGGTTATGTAGTGAAAATTCCGATTCTAATAGTTTAAGAAAAGTTTGGTAGAAAGTAGGGTCTATTGTAGGAAATATCTCCTAACCTCGGGACAACAACATCTCCTATCACCACAGCTACTTTTGCTCCCATCACAAAACATATGGAGACAATGTTGTGGAAAGTCGATCATTCTACAAATACTTAAAATTTGACAATAACTCCTCGAAAGTAAATTCCACCGGTTCTGAAGTCAGTGTTGCCCACTCGTTCTGCACGAAAATGCTCCCTTCATACTACCGATCGAACCCTGCTGAAATAGACAGCATATCCAAAAACTTCCCACTACTACTACCACTACTCTTATAGCCAACTATTATTGATCATTCAAATTAAGCTAGTACAAATCATGCTTGCTGAGATCATGAGATTTCATTAGACACGGCACTCCCAGCAGGTTTTCCTAACCTGTATAAATTCTACTGTTGAAGTAATAGTGATTCTCACAAATTGGAACTTTCGCCATAGAGATTACTGAGAATAAGTCAAGGCTTCTTATGAAAAAAATAAACTGCAACCTAAAGTGAATAATTTGTATATTGCACTTCTATTAACAAAGTAGACGGTTAAGAGTGTTAAAGGTTGAAAACAACTAATTTAACACTGTAATTGTTTGACTCACTATTCAATTCCAGATTTCATTTACGAATAGAAAGAGTGAAGTATAGTTACAATTCACTACTCGATAAATGCATAACTCAATTTATACTAATATGATTGAGCAAGCAAAGACGCATATTATACATTCTCAGTTATTAGCATAATTTCAGTGTAGGTTATTGAAGCAAGCACTTAAGAACATATAAATAAATATCAGAATAATTGGCTTTGGTTTCATGAAACATGGTGGTTTAGCGCTTTTGGAACATGCTTGACTTTCGGTGCTGCGTTTTGTCCATGAAATGCAGGCATGAAGGATTATGCAATCTTGGTTCAGCCTAATTATTTTTTTGTGAAATTTGGTAATCACCCTGTGAATACTTTTTCCTTAATCCTTTGGCAACAATATGTAAAGGACCATTAGTTACCTGTGTGTTTTTGCTTTAATAACCCATTGTGTATTCCCCAAACCTTTTGGTAGTCTCAATCCGAGACGACTGACATTATCAACAAGCTAAGCGCATTGCCCAACATTCAGAAAAGATGCGTAAAAATTACATTAGCTATTCCCATGAGGTAGTTCCACCCTTTGCCAGCCGCCCAATTTTGTAATGACTCTACTTTGGATAGAAAAACGCAGTAGCAACCTTCACGTGATTTTAAATCACAATCCAAGAAGTGCAAAACTAGACTACTAGCGCACCCCCAAATTCAAAAGTTAAAATCACGTGAATAAAGAACACCTAAGACGTCCTTTTATGCCAAATTCATTTCATAAATCTAGGTTATGACAAATGAAATAAGACCAATTAATCATATTGCAAATTCCCTTTAAGAGAATCCCACTTTAAATCTCAAATCTTGACAAGAATCAAATTATGCTTCCCCACAAATAAGCAGACCTAAGACGGAATTTAAAAGTTTTACCAGTTTATTATGCGTATCAATAACACAAGTACAACTATATGGCAGAACCATCCCCAACCCAGTGCAATAGCATGACACTACTTGGATGGGTAAAAGAATATACACAACTGCAATCGTAGATTAAACGAAACAAATAATTCAAACACTCTTTTCTCAAGGAAAATCAAAAGATTTTAACAATGCACACCATAGCCTTACTGCACAATTTTCCGCATACAATATTTAAATTATCACCTGTCGGATAAAAATTGAGTATTTACAAAGAAGACCATTAGTAAGGCCTAGTAAGGATGCAAACTGTGATAATTCCCCCTAAAAATGTAGGGCAAGGATACCTGTGGGGATTGATAATAATCAGAATCGTTAGGGCCACTATAATCTGAGTCATATAAGCTTTCGAGATAATCAAAAACCCTAAGCAACTCAGGATTATACAGCGTTTTGCCATTCGATACCCGATTAATTTTACAGTTCTGATCCTTTCTGGGAAAACGACGTCTCTTCTTCGGACCTCCATGTAATACGCTCCATTGATTTCGCCACGAGTTATATGACAGACGTAGAAGAGTTCGCTTTAATAAAGGCACTCTGTGAGAAGGCTTTTCCAGCTTACTTTTTGCATTAAACAACAGATACTGAAGAGTAGACACGGACTCCATCACGGGCGAAATGAACGAAAGATCGTAATTAGTGAACTCGAGAGTTACTTAACTAAAAGAAATTTATATAATGTATCTAATGATAAGCAAATAATAAAATTGAATAATCAAACTATTAAATTAACTAAAAATATTCTTTAAATTATTTTTAAATTAAATTAAACATTTAAATTGTGGCGTTTTTTATTAAAATTTGATCATAAAATTATATAAATGTGTACACTGAAATTATGATAAGAACTGAGAATGTATAATATGCGTCTTTGCTTGCTCAATCATATTAGTACAAATTGAGTTATGCATTTATCGAGCAGTGAATTACTATTAAACTTCACTCTTTCTATTCGTAAATGAAATCTGGAATCGAATAGTGAATCGACAAATTTCAGAGTAAAATTAGTTTATTATCCTAAATATCATTGTTGAGCGCTTCAAAAAGACATTATTTAGTCAATAAGTTGATTAGACACGTGGCAATGCATCAAGTTATTCCATCTTGTATTTGCAAAGTTTACACTATGAAAGCACTAATTCTGAACTGCAGGAGAAACGGCTTTGCAAGAACCAACTTATAATACATTAGACTAACTTCTAAGAATCTTAATTGGCAAATGGCTACAGACTATTTACTTTAGGATTTCAGTTTAACCAATAAATTTTAGATAGATATATGTCAGGTGACGTCTGAGCTTTCCAATAAAGAACTGTAATTGTCTTTTTCAGCGAAATCTGTTAACATGTTACGTAATATTTATGAGTAATGGAGATTATGTAAATATCCATATAATAGTTTCGTCTTCTAGATAATTATTCTTCGAAATTTAAGAAAGGTATAATATCAATGCCGATATATCTGACCCAACTAAAGTGACATCTTCAAAATAGTTAAGAACGTGTTTTTGGGGATGCTTTGAGCAGCTATTTCTAAATTGTGTAGATTCACGTTTTTTAATACTTAAAAATTATTTAATATATTTTTAATGAAAAATCTGTACCTTTATTCATTGTTTAGAACGAATTTGAAAAAAATAAACATTTTATTTGTTTACATCATTATGCTAAACTTGCGTGAAATTGAGCGCCATTATCTCAGAGGTTGATTTACATGATGGATTTAAGTTTGGACGAAGTTATTGCTAAGACTCGTAAGGCTCGACGTGGTCGTGGTTCGAAGTCGCAAAATGTTCTTAGAAGAACAAGCGGTGGCGGTATTCAGAAACGCCGGAGCGGCGATTTTCCTAGGAGAAGCCTTCCCGATAAATGGCAACATGATATGTTCCAAAATAACGTAGCCGCGAAGGTTCTCATTTCCAATCTTGATTATGGTGTAAATGACGACGATATTCGTGAACTGTTCCAGGAATTTGGTGCTATACGTCGCGCTGCGGTGCACTATGACAAAAGTGGTCGCTCCTTGGGAACCGCTGAAGTTATCTATAATAATCGGGCTGACGCAGCTAAAGCAATACAACGTTACAATGGCTTACCTCTTGATGGTCGTCCAATGAAAATTCAGTTTGTTGGAGGTTCGTTTATCATTGGGCTTCATATGTTACATACTTTGTTGCTACTTTGATTTAGGGTAACAAAGGAGTCTTTCAAAATTTTGTTGTTTTTCACTCTTGGAAGTATTTTGTTCTATTTGCGTCATATAATCATTTTCGCTGCTGGAAATTACTAGTCCATTCATTAAAATGTTGTGAGAGTATATTTCACTTTTGTCAATGCGTTTTTCGTGGTCCTAACTTTAGTGGCATTAGCGGTCATGTGGATTTTTTCCCATTAACAATTTTCACCGCTTGTCTTATGTTACTTTACGTTTCTATTTGTTTCACATAATTATTAGTAGCATTTTTCGTTCTGAGTAATGAATTTGAATGGTATTTAAAACCCCTCTTAATGTTCTAGAAGGCTCTAAACTCGCGGCTCCAGTCGCTGCAAAAGCTCGTCTTGGAGGAGCATTTCGAGGACGTCCAATGCGAGGTGGTCGTGGTCGCCGTGGTAACAGAAATGCACGTCCTCCCATCACTAAGGATCAGTTAGACGCTGAATTGGCTGCTTACACTGCTCAGGTATTTGTCCTATTGTTATTGCCTCATTTCAATTTTTTGCATTTTTAATTTCCCATTTTTTCTTTATCATTTGCTGAATTAGGCTGCCAAGCTTTCTCCAGCCGATAATCAATGAGGTAATAAAAAGAAGAGAGTTTAACTTGTTCTGAATCTACTTCTAACTTTGTTATTATTGTGAACTACGCAAAGTTACCTTGTTTTTTCTACTGTAGAGGGCCTAACTAACTCGCTTGTTCGAACTGGTTGTCTAATATATAAACTCGAAAAAATGTCTGTCCTTTTCTCCTTTCCCTATTAGCCACCGTTCTTAATATTCGTCCAACTTTTTTTATCTGTAAATCAGCCTGCATTTTTGTATAAATAAAGTTTTATTTGGTGTTGATATTGCTTCAGTCATTGATTAAAGTGCCAGCGACCTAAATTGGGATTATAATCGCGAAATTCTTCCATTGATTGGTTATGTTGAGCTTGTTTTAGTTATGCTTTGATGTTTTTAGTTTTTTTTGCCAAAAGTTTGGTTGCGGTCGGAACAAGGCTCTGATGGCCAAGATATGTTGCTTCCAATTATATGATTCTAATGAAGTAGGAAATTTGACTATTGATTTTTTCCTCTGTTTTTTAAGAATTCTGCTGGTTTTATTATTAAGGCCATTTAGCAGACCATTGGATTATTTAAGCATTTCTCTAAACTGAACTTCCACATCTGGGTCGTACTTATAGGGAGCAGTAAGCTTAATTTTTGTTCAGTAGAGGTGAGCATCCTTTCGTTTTAGCGATGTAGCATAGTTTAAGACATCAAATGCTCTGTTTTAGATTTCTATGGCGTCACAAAATTTTTGTCATTTTGCTTTACCGTATTGTTGTAAGATATGAGAGTAGAATTTTCTAGTATGTGATTCGGTGTGGTGTACCAGAGCGCGATGTATGTCCCCATGGTCTCATCAACCAGTGGTGCAGCATTTTTAAGCTGGATTAAGATATTCAATAAACGGTCATGTAAATTCTTGCGTTGAAACCCAAAATTTTACCGCTTTACTACTAGCTATGTCTTTAAGCAGAGTTTGAACCATTTATTCGGAAATATTAAGCAATTCTAGGTTTCTGATCATTATTAGGCACTCACTACTAATAGCTAAATCGCATGAGAAGTCAGCGCTAACTTTTTCAATTCTGCTTCTTAAAATGCATAATATATTGGTGCGATTTGGAAAGGTGACATGTTGCCTTCAGTACGATATTTATTGCGGTAAGAAATTATAAATAGTATGATTCCATCGTGAAAAAGTGGCTTTTTCTCAACTCCTGGGATAGTTCAGGTTACTTGGTCATTCATTTCTTGAAATTGGTAAATATGAGTGAAAATCAAGAGAATATTGGCATTCAGTAGCATTTCTAAATCTCTCAAAGAAAGTGAACATCTGATTAGATTAAATTTAATGGAATAATTAAGACTCCTCATCTTAAGCGAACAGAGCTTACCGCAAACTTAAAATTTATAGTAATCTCAACTCTACTATGTTAAAATCGCAAGTTCCTAAACGTTATGTATGGTTAAGTTGCCTTCTCAGCTATTGGCAGCAAAAAATGGGTTGAAGTGTCGAGACCACGATCGTCACGAGTAAAAGCTGGTTTTGATAATCGTCCACGAACAAACAAACCCATATACCATTGAAATTGGATAAGTTATTCATTTATATCAAATGACAGGCGTTTTGATGGCTATCATTAGCCCTTTAGTTGACTTCAGGCTTCACAGAGGGGAAGGAGCATCAGAGTGAAAAAAACCGAAAGAGGGGGGGGGGAGAATAGAAGAGTGTTTCAAAGACAAAGGTAGAAAAAGGTGAGGTAAGTACTGTGGAAGTAGTCGAATATGACATACAGTGGGATGATGGTAGGTTGAAATCAGAAGTCAACTACCGGTTTATAGACTTTTTTGACGTATGAGTATACGTTGCCCAGGGTGCACCACATCACCATATCGAAAGGAAAGTATGATTTACCTTCGAAAATGCAATGTTTACTAATAGGTAAAGTTAGTAATAGAGTTTAAGCTATTTAAGTTCGTATCGACTAGTGCAAACACTAATTAACCAATTACCGTTTTTGAACGCTCTGTCATGTTGGAAGCATAGTCCTAGCAGGGGGCTTGGTAGTAAAACACACTGTAGACCAATAGGATTGAATGAAATTTCTTAAAGCTCTTCATTTGAGAACAATTAAAACATTTATTTATTTATTTCAAATGGCAGGCGTTTTGATAGTTATCATTAGCCCTTTAGCTGACTTCGGGCTT